AGAAGAAGGAGGAAGAGGAGGAAGAGGAGGAAGAGGAGGAGGAGGAGGAGAAAGAGAAAGAGAAAAAGATGGGGGAGCGGGAAGAAAAAGAGCCGAGAAAGGAAAGCGAAGAAACAAGAAAAAGAAGGGGGAAGAGAGAGAGAGAAGGGGGGGGAGCGTGAGAGTGATGAAGAAGGCTAGATTTACCGTGGGAAGGAGAAATGGGGAGGAGAAATGTTGAAGGAGAAGAGGGGTAATTTTGGAAGAATATGTATAAAAACGTAGAGCAGGAAGATTTTTTTCGGACGGAAAAAAAGGTAGAGTAGGAAGTTTATTCTTGGACGGAGGGAGTACATATTAAAAAAACTATATCAAAAGATCTACAAAACTAAAGATGACATGACTATATTATTTTATCAAATGGGTGACAAAAATAGGCCAACAAAGTTAATAAAGTTTGACCCTGTTAATAGTGAATGTAAAGTTTATTTGTGGATAGAGGGAGTATATTATGCATACCTAAATATAATACGCTTTCTAATTTGGTGTGAAGAAGAAGAAGAAATGGCCGCCGCATCAACGCCACAGCGCCACCTACTCCGGCTAGTTCTCTCCTGCCGCAAAATCACAGCTCAGGTGACCCACCCCGAGACGGCCTCCATCATCGCCATGGCTTCATCGGCCGAGACGGAGTTCGCGGCCCAGAACCGAGCCAAGCTGGACCGCTTCCCCAGGGCCCACAACTTGTGGGATTCCAAGATCGCCGCCAGAGTCGGCGAGAAGCTCGGCCACCGCCTCAAGGAAGCCCGCGTCTCCCTCGTTGAGATCGATCACCGGGAAGAACTCGCCAGGCCCGTCCACCACCGTAAGATGGTGGCGCCGCTTTTCGACGCCGTCAAGCGCGCAGGTATCGGCGTCGCTGGAGGTGAGAAATTAGAGCCCTGGAATCTAAGTTAGTTTCTGGGCCGGGCCGGGCCGTGTACGTATTCTAGGGCTATAGTTAAAATTGCTATATATCTGGGCTTTTACCTACTCCTTTTTTGTATCTCAAAAATTTTGTTCCGGATTTTGTGTTAATAAAAGTTAAATAATTAATTTAGGGTACACCAACATGGATACTTCATATGTACATCAAGCCAATACAGACATACATAAACACAAAATGTCTATACAGGATAAACATTTTGTATCTGTGTGTGTTTGTGTTGGCTTGGTATACCTCTAGCATTGCCCAAAGTTAAAACCAATTAATAGTTCCCCATTCAATATTTACAAAGGCCTACTCTCAACAGAGTCGAATCCGTATATGGTACAATCGACAGTAAATAAGGTAGACTCGAGTGGTATTAATTTTGAAGTAAAGTACTATCCATTTTCGTACAAAACAAAAGTGTTTATTTGAAATGACGTAGTACTCATTTTGAAATAACGTAATACTCATTTTTATTCATTTGTTCAATATAATTATCATATTTATTTACAAATAACGTAATGTTTTTTCTGAAACAAAGTCGCACTTATTCTCAAATAAAAAAGTGTTCATTCTCAAAACCGTTCATTCTTTTCAGATTTGAAAAAATATAATCCACAACAATCATCATTTTCATCGCATATCTCCACCATCGATGAGTTCATCACATATCTTGCAGTCGCCACCACCTTCAACTGTCGGTCGCAGCAACCTCCTCGCATTAGGGTTTTACCTTCGAACGATTGTCTGCTTTCTCTTTGTCGGTGCTCCTCTCCTTCCTTCGATCTAATTGCTAGCTGTACCGGAATAACAATACAGCCGGCTATACCGTGTAATTTTCGCTCTCAACAACACTGTTTTAACTTCTTATCGAATATTTTTATTTATTAATTTTTTTTTAATTTCCTACCCACAATTTGCGCTCTCAATGACATTCTTTTATACTCTCCCTATCCCCCACACACATTACTTCAATTTTCTACTTTTTTTTGTCCATTCTAAAAATAATTTTCATACTCCCTCCGTCCTAAAACTTTCTTCCCAAAGCACTATTCCAACTTCACGGGAATTTATATTTATTTGTGTTTTTTCTTGGCCTATATGATAAAATAAAATATTCTTGTCACCACTTGTTTTGTTAAACTTTTGATGTAGTTTTTAAATATGTATGTTTTATTTTTTATTTCTATACCAATATTTAAATAAAATAGATTGAAAAAACTTAGAATTTTTCTTCGTTTTGCGCAACGGGAAGAAAGTTTTAGGACGGAGGGAGTACTTTTTATCTTTTCCTTTGTAGAAAGAGAATGTGTAGTCCAAAATACAGCTTTTCATTTAAACAAATCATAACTAATTTTTTAGGATTCAATACTTTTAATAATCTTCATGAAATCAAAGCGAAAACCTTTCGTGGAGATGGTGGGATTTAGATTTCCACCGAAAAGTGATTCCATGGAAAATACTAAACATCCAAATCATATACTTATAGTGTATCATGCCATTGGTAAGATAGGTAAAGAAGTGCACTTTTGGTAGGCATATTGCAGAAATTTTACAGCATGTCTTAGCCATTCAAAGCTCTATTTAACAAGGGTACAAAGCTAACTACTGCAAAGTAGTAATTATTTTTGGCATATATATCCCGGACCTTTAACAATGGCATTGGCAGCAAACCCAATCTGCAAAGGGGCAAAACAGACAATGATCACATGAATAGGTACTGTGCACTGCTGTTACGGTGCATCTTTTACTTGATCACAAGAGAACAACAAGTGTAATCCCAACTACGCTGATGTTTAGGGGTCAAAACGTACGCAACCTTATCCCTATATAACAAAAGGGTTGTTTTTGTTCGATAATTGTTGCATTTGCTTCCCAAAGCTTCATAAAAAATAAGACGCGAAGGAAGTTTAATTTGTCATTTTGATCTTGTCCACCATTATTATGCAAAGCTACAACAGTGTCAAAAATGACACTTTTATCTCCATTAAAAATGGACAAATCCCACTTGATCACAACACTAAACATGCTAACTTTACTATCACCCCGGTTCTACAAATCTCAGCCCAGTCTATACCCGCCTGCCAGATTTTTTTAAAGAACATTGTAAAGTCATTTATATAGTACCTGCGAAGGACTCGATGTGCTGGTAATGCCCACTTCTACTGATGACACAGTTCATCCAGTTTCTGCACATTCAGTTTATTAGTAGTCTGTCAACCAGCTAACCCAGCTTACATATATGTATACACACACACACACAGGATGTATCTAAACTGTATCTTAATAGACAGATCCATCTATCATGAAGATATACCCTGCATGTGGAAAGGGAATGAATACAAGGGAAGAAGGGAAATTGTCGCAGTTAACCCTATCATTGATAGACATGCCTGTTATGCAGTGTGGAGTTGGAATCTATAGCTCATCTTTATTTCTCCTGCTCTATCACCTCGGAGGTCTAGGCTAAGGATAGAAGCTGGTTGGGGCTTAATTTGCAGCTCAGTACACTTGGCAAGGTGAAGAGAGTCTTACATAAAGAGCAACAGTGAAGGGGACTAATTGGGAAGGCATCAAGACTTGCTTTTATGAACACAAGATATCTAATCACAAAGATTCAGCAATGCTATTTGTTTTGACGAGCCTTATGACTTGCAAAGTTTTGTACTGACTCTACCCCTCTTTTTTGCCCACTTTTTTAGTTTTGCCTTCTTGTTTTGGCTTTCTGGTGGTTACTGTTTCTTCAATCGGGCTTTTTGCTTGTAGCCTATGGTGGTTGTTTGACATTTCTTTTGGGGCATACCCCTTATATACTTCATACGTGTATATCTCCCTTTGGGTTCTCATAATCTATATTTACACAATTACATTTTACCCAAAAAAAAAGACCAATACACATACTGATCAAAGAATGAACATAACTAAAAAATAACTCTTTATTTCACTTAAAAGGACTGCTATACTCCCCCCCCCC